GGGGCTCAGGGATATGGGTCATGCAGACCAAGACAGCAGTGAAGGAGGCAGGAAGGGGATGTACTTTAAAAGGCTGCTCTAACTGCGACCCTTCTTGTGCCATCCACACACCCTGCCCCTAAACAACACACCTGTCACTAACTGAGTGACACCTATCCTTAACATCCGCTGATCTGGGACTGCAGGTACCAAGTTCATGTCCCAGAACACGGGGCTGTCCTGTCAAGGGCTCTCCAGCCCACCTCTGGGGGTCACAAGGGCCACAGGCTGAAAAGGGGGGTTCCTTGGTGAGGCAGAGAACATAACGCGTTCAACCAGTGCTGGAGCCAAACGCAGCATGCCAGACCCCTCCCCTCGCCCCTCCAAAGACCCCTGCAGAGCACACTGCAGTAACCAAACCTCGGAACACAGCACCCTCTGCCTACTCAGAGGGCTCCCTCCCTGCGTGGGCACTTTACTCCCAGAAACTTCCCCAGTGGGGACCCCTCGCTCTGAGCCCCCTGCGGCGTCTCCTAAGACCATGCAAGGGAGAAGCAGGGGCCAGACTCTTTGGAGCCAGGATCCCTGGGTCTGGAAAGGGGCGGACCAGGGAAGGCTGCGGAAGGCTGAGGACAACCAAATGTGAGGGTGGGAGGGGAAAGCAGGGGCTCGGGAGAGCGGCCAGGCGCTGCCTCCCGTTACCTGTCCCCCAAGAGGGCTTCTTTCTGCTCCAGGAGGGGGGCGCCCCGGCCCGGGCCCACTTCTCGGGCATCTCCTTGGGGACCGTCATGATCCCGGTTTGAGCGGGGGAGGGCGGGCTGTCTGTCGGTCTGTCCTTGGCCTCAGCGGCGCCGATGCGGCGGCCCCCCGGGCAGGCACACCACGAGCCGCGGCCGCTCGGAGGGGAGCCCCGGCCGTCGGGCGCGCGCCCCACCTGCAGCCCCGGCCATACCCGCGGCCGCCGCCCCCAGGCCCGGCCGCCCGCGCGCGCAGTGGCCCGAGCGCGGCGCGCGCCCCGGCTCCGCCCCCCGCCCGCCCCCCGCCCGCAGGGCAGCGCCTGCCAGCGCCGCGTCGGCGAAGCCCGCGGAGCCCCGCCCCCGGGGGGGGAACCGCCAGGGTTGTCCGGGCAACCGCTTTCATCCCGCCCCCGCCCGCAGGAAAACCAGGAGGGCGGGGCGGATGGAGAAATGAGAGAAGGTGGGAACACAGCGCTCCAGGCCCGAGACTAAGCGCTCAGGTGCCCCAAGTCGAAAGAGGCAGGTACTCAGTACCCCGGGGAGGAGAGCCCAGCTCAGGCATCCAGGGGAAGAATTCGCTTTCCTAGGCTCCTCCCAGGATGGGCAGGGGTTGTGATGACCCTCCTCCAGACTCACTGCCAGTGTCCCTCCTCCCTTTGCTCCCTGAGCCATAGTAACACCCAATCTTGATGATCTCAGGGATTCCAATCCCCCTGCCGCCCCCGTCTTACCTGGGGGGCGCTTTTTTGCACACAGTGCCATCTCACCCAGCAAGGTGCCAGCAATCCCATGGGAGACCCTGCAGGAAGGTGACATACGCGTGAGGTCAGAAAGCCAAGGGTAACCCTTCATCCCCCTCTTCAGACTTCCTGAAGGTTCTCTTCCCCAGGTGTGACTTTCCCCACGGCCTCCCCCCTATGCCTCAGCCTCGGATGGGTGTGTGTGTGTGTGTGTGTGTGTGTGTCAGGACTAGCAGTTTACAGAAGCTGAGACCTACAGGTCAAGGAAGAAGACAGAAGTGGCCAGGCAGGAGGGACACAGCTCTCAGGGAACCCGTCCCCGGGGCAATGGATGCCCGCATGTGCCCTCCTGGTGGCAATGAGTGGTGCCTGTGTTTACTGGAAAGCAGAGTTTCCACCAAAGGGTGGGGTTGAGGGAACCTGAGCCAGGAAACACCTGGCAGAACCTCAGGAAACAAAGTGGGCAGGCTACACCCTTCCCAAAATGCTTATAGTCCCCCCACCCCCCACTACCGGGCCTTCCATTCTCACCTCCTGCAGTGGAGCTCACACTAGAGGCATGGCCTGCATTTCCTGAACACAGTCCCCAAACCACTTCCTCTCAGTCTGGGTCAGCTGAGGGGCCATGCCCACCATGGTGGGGAGTCGCCCTCTCTCCCAGCCCACCCTCCACAAGCCCAGCCCAGTCAGGATGGCAACAGATGTAGGCTCAGGGAGCATCAATCAGACAGCCCTTTGCTCTCCTTCCATCTTCCCGCGTCCCTTTCACCAAAAAAGCCAGAAGGCCTGCCTCATCCCTATTGCCAGCCAGGTCCCAGGTCCTCTTGTCACACCTCCTCTTTCTCTGTCTGGGTGGAAAGCCTTCCCCCTCATCGGTGCCCCTGACTCGGGCCTCCTAGGCACAGCCTGCCAGCCTGTCGGCCCAAAAAGATACTGACTGTCTGTCTGCTCGACCTCTATAATTACAGACTCTGGCCACAGCCTGTCACCCACACGAGTCACCCCTTCACTAACTCAGACTCCCTTTCTGAACCCCAGATCAGGCACAAAGCCAGAAGTCCTTTCCCTCGCCGACCCTCCCCAACACTGATCGCCAAGGGTGCCTGGCTGGCTCAGGAGGAAAAACCTCATCCACCGTGTTAGAGATGCCAAGCCCTCCTCCCGTGGCCCTGGCCAGGGTCTCCACCCAGTCTAGAGTATGAGTCATGACAGGGTGGGGTGTGGAGGAAGAGGTTCAAGGAGAGGATGGAAGGGTGGGCTTCCCAGTTCCATGGCCAGCCCCACCCTCCTAAAGGGAGGCAATCAGGAGACCATCAGCCTGAAGATCTGGGTTTGAATGCTATCAAAGAATTAATGAAGGAACCACACACACTTTTAGGAGTCAGGAGTCTGGACACGGAGCAGGAAAGTTGTCTTAACTCTAAGACCCTGTGGAGAATGAAAGCTGATTTGGTCCCAGACCTCACCCCCTCTGGGGGGCCCTAATAGGGAGAGAACAAGAGTGGGAGACGGGGAAACGGGGCCCTCTCACTTCTCCGCAGTCACACAGCTTGGGTTTTCTGAACCATCAGGCACACCAGCCACGTGGCCCTGCCCATCACCCTGCCCCAGCCCCCTCTGCAGCCACATTTGGGATAAAAATAGCCAGCTCTGGGTAGAAGGCAATGCTCCATGTAGGAAAACGGCTCCTCCTCTCGGCCCGGCCCCTGCTCCCTTCCAGACCAAACCCGGGAAGACGGACCCCTTCTTTCAGAGAAGGTTGGCAGGGATATTTGTGGGCAGGTCAGGGGAATAGAAGGAAATGGAATCCTAGACCCCCAGCTCCCCGACCACTGGCACACCCCTGGCCACCTTACATCGCCAAGGACAGATGCCAGGACTCACTCCCCAACTCTGAATCCCCAGAACTACTACCCCTCCTCGCGCCCCTGCTTTTGCTCACGCACAGAAACCTCCGCCTTAAGAGAAAAAGCCTACCAGCCCCGAACTCCCTTCTCCAGGCGCCCAAAACCCTCGGACCAGGGTCACTGCCCTCACCCCACAACTCTCGGGGCGGCTCTTCCCTCCTCGGTGCTCCACGCCCCCTCCTTCAGCACCCCATCCTCCCGCGGCGCGGACAGCCTCTGGACCCCCATCCTCAGGAACCCGCACCCTGGTCTCTGCGAGCACGCGCGCCGCCCCGCCTCACCTCAGCGCGCGGCGCCCGGCGCCCGCCCCGGCCGCCCCGTCCTGCCCATGCCGGGGGCTGCGGCGGGGGGCCCTCGGCTCGGCTCCCCGCGGGCTCTCGCCCCCAGCTGCAGCCCCGCTCGCCCGGGGCTCGGCCCGCTACTTTGTGTCAGTTTCGGCCGCGGCGGGGCGGAAGTGACGGAGGCGGCGGCAGAGGCGGGGGGCGGGAGGGGGTTTTGGGGACGGGGAGAGAGAGGGAGGGGAGGCGGGAGCCGCCATCTTTGTGCGGGGCGGGGGGGGCGGGGTCTTAACCCTTCCGAGGCCCCCCCACACCCACCCCACTGCACATCCTTCCCGCAGCCAAAAAGCCAAGTCAGCCAGGAGAGTAGCGAGCCCAGACGTTGTTTTGTTTTGTTTTAATATTTTTTTAAGATTTTATTTATTTATTCATGAGAGACGGAGAGAGAGACAGAGAGAGAGAGAAGCAGGCTCCCAAGAGGCAGGGAGCCCGATGCGGGACTCGATTCCGGGACCCCGGGATCATGACCTGAGCCGAAGGCAGATGCTGAACCATCTGAGCCACCTAGGCGCCCCCAGACGTTGTTTTTTCTTTTTTTCCAAGTTTATTTAAGTAACCTCCAAGCCCAACCTGGGGCTCGAACCCACGATCCCGGGATCGAGTCGCAAGTTCCCCCGACTGAGCCAGCCCGGCGCCCCACAGGGAGCGCCGGCGCCTTTATTCGCTGGAAAGGGGCCCTGGAGCGCGGCCCCGGGAGCGGCGTGAGAGCGAGCCCCCCCCTCCCGCACCCCCCGCACCCCCCCCCGTGGCCCCGGAGTCAGGACCTTGCCCCGCGGCGCACCTCACCCCACTCCGGAACGGACGGCTGGAGCGTCTGGGCACTGGGTCGTGCCTCAGTTTCCCCGTTTGCGCTCCCGGCCACCAGGCAGGCCCGGCTCGCACCCTCGCCATCTGGAGAGCCGCCCCGCGAGGGAAGGGCGGCCGCACCGAGGTTCTGGGGCTGGGAGCCGGGCAGGGGGACCGGGCTCCGCAGGAAGCCCCCCTCGCGGGGGCTGCCCCGGCCCTCCCGCGCCGCTCCCGGGCGCGCCCTCTGGTGGCTACTTTGAGGCACTACGTCCGCAGAAGCCATCAGGGTCCAAAGCGGGAGGAGGGGAAGTGGGGAAGAGGGGAGGAGGAGCGGAAGGCTGGAGCGCAGGAGGGGCCTGGCTCGGATTTTGCCGCGTCCAGTTTAGGAGGAGACGATGCCCCGATGGCGCACCGCGAAGCTGGCGTCAAGGGAGTGGGTGTCTTGTCGCCAGCCCTGGATCTCTGACCCTCTCCGGCATCCACAGGGGAGGTGAGGGCTGTCGTGTGAGACCTTTACTGCGGCAGCCGAACTGAGGCAGGCATTTCCAAGGCGGAGGCTTTATGCAGGGCCAACCCCAGGTCCGGAGCCGGCTCTGACTCCTCCGGGTGGTGGAGAGCCACCAGCAGCTGGTATGTGGCTGTGCCAAGCGTAGCCCCCACCAGAGGGGCCACCACAGGCACCCACCACCAGCCATTACCGGCCCTACGAGAGAAGGACGGGAGGGTCTCAGGGCTGACTCCCCTAGACCCCCCGTGGGGCACTGCGGGCGGGCACCAGGGCTGACTCCCCTAGACCCCCCGTGGGGCACTGCGGGCGGGCACCAGGTCTCCTGGAAGCAGTTCCTGGGGAGATGGATGCCAGGAAGAGAGGGCGTCTTGGCCACAAAGCACAGCCCTTAGAGAGGAGCCTCCAGGGGAGCCTTGGTCCAGCCCCTTGCCTTGGGGAATTATCTGAATATACCCATTGTGCTGAGGGGGTCACTGATGCCCAAGGAGGTAATATGGCATTCCCTACAGTTTCGGTGGAAGGGGTAGGGAGAGGAGAAGGGGCAAGAGAGAAAGGGAGAAACAGGATGCAGACGAGGGCCCTGTCCCAAGAGGCGAGGAGAACCGTGTAAGCAGAGAGCTGGGGACCCAGACACGGAGGGAGGGGAGTGAAGGGGCTGCCCCAGCAGAGGGGCTGTGGTCTCCCACCTGAAGACTTCAGGGCCCCAGCCAGCCACGTAGGTGAAAAGCCGTGGGCCCAGGTCACGGGCAGGGTTGAGTGGGTACCCACAGTTGACACCCAGGGAGAGCCCGATGGCCAGGATCAGCAGCCCCACAGCCACAGGCTCCAGACCTGCAGGCACTCCCTTGTTCCGCGTGTCCATGATGGCCAAGGTGCCCACAACCAGGATCCCTGTGCCCAGAACCTCGGAGTTGAAAGAGGCAGAGGGGTCCCCATAAGCTGCCAGATGACCCATCGGCCCTTTATCACCCAAGCACCCTAGGCCACCAACCCACGTCATCTGATTTTGTCCAACACAGGCGACTGGGGCGGGGGTGGTGCAGAGATAGACCCAACCCCACATCCCAGGGGACAAGGGCAAAGACTGGGGCTTTCGCAGGTCTCCCCCTCGCACTTACCTGATCCAGGAAGCCATTGTTCAGGGACAGATACGGGGCAGGGTAGGTCGCAAAGATGGAGGCTGTCTCCCTAGGGCCAGTCACTGTCAGGTTGCCACCTGTATAATTCTGTAGGGCATCTGTAGGGGAGGGGGACACCCAGGACTTCCATCTTTGTTCATGCAAAACCACTGCAAGGCACTCCTGGGCACATGCAGATGCTCCCAGCCATGTTACCGTAGTAGACAGCGTAGGTGGCTCCAGAGGCACAGAAGGCAGAGAGAAGCTGCACCAAGCAGTAAACGGGAAGCTTGAACCAGGGGAAACGCCCCAGGAGGCACATTGTCAGGGAGAAGGCTGGATTCAGGTGGGCCCCTTCAAGGATCCAGAGAAGAAAACCACCATCCCTTAAGTGTCACTGCCAGGCGCTCACCAGGTAATGCTGTTGTTGCCCCTCACAACTTTTTAATTTAATCTTATTTATTTAAGTAGTCTCTTCTCCCAACGTGGGGCTCAAACTCGCAGCCCTGAGATCAAGAGTGGCACTCTTCTGACTCTTCTGACTGAGCCACCAGGCACCCCTGACGCTTGCAACTCTTAAGGCAGATGTCGCTTTTCTCATCATGCGTCAGCAAGTGGAGGCTCAGGGAGGTCATGCAACTTGTCGAGGTCACACAGTAAAGCCCAGGGTCTGCCTGGTCTTTCTACAACAGTGTTCATGTCTCCAGGGTCCAGCCAGGCACACTGACACTGCACGTGTCTGGGGGACAAGAAGGTGAGGTGCTGCGCAAGAGGACCCCAGAGGGCTTCCGGAGGGGGACGTGGGAAGACAGCCCTTACCCTAACGCCTTGCCATAGGTCTCTGTCTAGGTAAGTGGACGAGAGACACACAAAGGGAAGGGGCTGGACCAGGTCCAAGGCATATCTCAGTCCAGGACACTAGTCAAACTCAAGGAGATAATGTTCCTGAGTCACCAAAGGATCTGCCTTCTGCCATACACCCGCACTCACATGTATGTGCACATTCAGGCGCGGACCCCACCCTCCTCACCTGAAACGTTCCCACTCACGTAGATGGCTACCATAACCGCCAGAGAGCCAGCCAGAAACATGGTGAAGAAGTTGCCTTTGTTTTCTCCGCTGGTGACAGCCTGGGCCACAGCCCCCTGGGTGAGGAACTGGCGGGGGGAGGGAAGGTGAGGAACAGGAGCCAGGAATAGGGAGCCTGGGGGACCCGCAGGGAACAGGGGAGGGAGGCTGGGAGGGCAGAGGTGCAGCCAAAGGAGCTGAACGAACAGGAGGGTCGGCCAGGAAGGGACAGCGGGCAGTAAAGGGGAGACGGGGAGGACGAGCAAGAAAGGGAAGGGGGTGAGAGATGGACAGGGAGAGCGATAAAAATCAGGGCTAGGACAGGAATGGAAGGGACAAGGACAGAGAGGGAAATGATGGGTGGCTGAAAGGAGCGAGACAGCAGGAAGAAGGAATAAAGACTCCAGTAGGAGCCGAAAACTTTTGCCCACCTCGGCTCTTTCATTCCCCCGCTAGTGGGCTTACCAGGAGCACGAACACACCCAGAAACTCTGCCAGGCACTGTCGGACCAGGTGGTTGCGGATCCGGAGCCGGCCCTTGACTTTGGCCAGGGGCTGACGATGGGCCATGCTGAGGACACCCTGTCTCGGGCTGTGACTCCCTCCGTCTGGATGGGCACACAACGACCGCCGGACAGGGGAAGCGATAAGGAAGACTTGAAAACCAATTAGCTCAGCTCCTGGACAGCTATATCTGCACACGTGTGCAGGCTAGGGAGGTAGAGATAATGGAAGAGGGAGGTAGAGATAATGGGAGAAGGTCCAAAGGCAAGCTCGGTGCATGACCAGAGCCTGGAGTTTGCCCGGACTCTGTCTCCTTTGTCATCCCCGTTCCTCGCAGGGGTAACCTCCTCCTATGCCTGCAGGTCGGAGGGAGCATCCTGCGTCAGTGCTCTTGGCCACAACAACCTCGAACGGCAGCGCTACTGCTCCCACTCTGCTCATGGGGGTCTTGAGAGCCTCAGGACTCCCCTTGGCCACACAGCTGCTTAAGGGCTAAGTCTGACTCTCCACCTCCTATTGTACAATGCCTCATGTGGGATGTGAAGCGTTTCCCCCAACCATTTGGATGCTTAAAATAAAACCCACTCATTGAACGCTTGCATGGCCCTCATGCAGAGTCTCACCTCGGTTAGAAAGTGCCCTAGCTCTGTGTCGCCTGCCTTGGCTCCAGATGAGGCTTCACGCCCACGCTGAGCCCCACCTCCCCTTCTCTGGGTGCTTGCCACCCTGATTCTGCACACACATAGCCACTTCTTACTTCTTATCGCAAGCCTCCAATTAGGTTCAGTCAACTATGAGTCAAGTTCTAGACCCCGGGGAAGCAGGGCGGAGCAAAATACAGTGCCTGTTCTCCTATAGTGTATGTTCTTCCGGTAAGTGGAAATCTACAAATTAAAATGCTGTATAGAGTTTGTGAGGTTCTTGAGACCTGGGCCATGTTGACCCATGGGCTCTAGCACAATCCTGGGTACTTCTGTAGCAGAAGTTCTTTACTAGGTTTAGTGCGTACCCACTTTGGGGCCAACGCACCATTTCCCAGCTGGTGGGAATATCAGATGCTGATAGCACACAGCTGCTTCCCTCACAGTAATACCTTTCATGGCCTGAGACAGCCTCACCCAAGGTGACATGCCCTCTTATGCGGCCCATGTCGATGACTGGTCGATGCAGGGATACAAAGACCTGGCCTCTTTGCCTCAATGTAGAACAACCCTGAAGGGTCACTCCAGCTTCAAAGTCTTCTCTTGTAACTTCCTTGGGTCAGTCACCTCTTTAGCCTAATCCTGCCTTCCTCACTTTCTTACATGTGTATCCCCTGAGAGTGCTAGCACCCCCAAGAAACCTTGTTCATGTCTCTTTTCATCTTAGTCTTTCCCCAGGGAACCCATTCTAAGACAGTTGGTGTCAGGAGTGGTTCTGCAAACTCTAGAATGGAATTTGGGCGATCATTCACAGGCTGGTTGACAAGAACTCTGTCATGGTAGTAGGTAGAATATGGATAGTCTCTAGCTTGAAGTGATGCAATGACTAAAATTATCAGCAGTGGTCAGTTGGAAGCAGTTACTGGTTGAAAGGGTATGCATTAGTGCAGTATGTTGAGCACTGGAAAGGCCAAGGGAAATGGTCACTACGTTCTGCAGAGCTGGTCGCCAAGCCAAGGCGGACCACAAGCCAGTGGGCTCCCTTCACAACATTTAAGGAAAGTCAAACCTCTTGCATCCAGTGGGCATCAGAGTGGAGGACCAGCTCAAATGTGACTGTAGTAGTAGCAGAGCTTCAGAGAGGGTGGAATTCTCAGCCCCACTGGGTTTCCTATGTCAGGGTTAGGGTCCTAAAAGGGTAGGATCCTGACACTTGAGATAGGTTACATCTAGGTAGATGCAAATGAGAACCCTGAATCCCCAGATTCCTCTGAACCCTCTCTCAAATCATTTAGATTTTCCTTTGTCTCTAGTGTTCTGAAGTAGTGGGTTTATTTTCATCCTTGCTATTTAGCATTGTGGTGGGTCTTTCAGATTAGAAGTAAATATTCTGCACTTCTGGGATATTTTCTTGGTTTATTTCATTGATGGTTTATATTATTCCAGTTTTCTTATCTTTTTTTAAAAATCTTTTTTCCTTAAAATTTTTTTCTTAACAATTTATTTATTTATTTATTTGAGACAGAGAGAATGAGAGAGAGAGAGAGAGAGAGAGCGCACATGAGAGGGGGGAGGGTCAGAGGGAGAAGCAGACTCCCCGCCGAGCAGGGAGCCCGATGCCGGACTTGATCCCGGGACTCCTGGATCATGACCTGAGCTGAAGGCAGTCGCTCAACCAACTGAGCCACCCAGGCGCCCTTAAAATTTTTTTCTTAATTGAAGTATAGCGGATATATAGCATTGTGTCAGTTTCATGTGTACTTTTTTCCTGTTTTCTATCTCTATTACTTGGTCTTTCTAGAGATTTCTTCAACTTTGTCATCAAAATCTTTTTATAGTTTCTCATTTCTGCCATCACATTTTTTTTAACTCCTCAAAGTTCATTCTTTTTTTTTTTTTAAGATTTTATTTATTTGAGAGAGAGAGCAAGCGAGCACAAGCAGGGCGAGGGGCAGGCAGAGGGAGAGGAGAAGCAGGCTTCCCGCTGAGCAGGGAGCCCAATGTGGGGCTCGGTCCCAGGACCCTGGGATCATGACCTAAGCTGAAATTCATTCTTATTTTATTTATTCCTTTGTAGGAATATCTTCTGGCTTTATGGATCTATCATCTCATATTTCTAAGGACATTAAAATGTGCCCTTGCTAAATTTTCATCTTTCTGCAGGTCTGTTTCTCCCAAGTTGCTTCTCTTGTCTGTACGAGTCCACCTTTCATGCTGTAGACTATCCACAGATGTCCGGTAATCTCCAGTTCCATGTATTTATGGTGATACTCTGAACAGCTGATTTGAAAAATCAATTATAAAGGCACCTGGGTGGCTCAGTTGGTTGAGCATCCAACTCTTGGCTTTGGTGCAGGTCATGATCTCAGAGTCGAGATTGAGCCCTGCGGTGGGCTCCACACTCAGCAGGGAGTCTGCTTGAGATTTTCTCTCTCCCCCTGCCCCTCTCCCCCACTCACATGTGTGCTCACCCTCAAATAAATAAATAAATTTTATAAGTCAACTGTAGGGGCGCCTGGGTGGCTCAGTCGTTAAGCGTCTGCCTTCGGCTCAGGTCATGATCCCAGGGTCCTGGGATCGAGCCCTGCATAGGGCTCCCTGCTTAGCAGGAAGCCTGCCTCTCCCTCTCCCACTCCCCCCTGCTTGTGTTCCCTCTCTCGCTGTCTCTCTCTCTGTCAAATAAATAAAATAAAATCTAAGAAAAAAAAGTTAAAAAAATTAAAATCAATTGTATTCTTACATACTAGAAGTTAGGAGGAAAAAATGGGAGGACGTGTTCTACTAAATACAACTAGGCAATTTGAAAATGTGAGTAGGCACAGAGGCAGACAAACAGATTAACAGAAAAGACAGAAAAACCCAGCACAGGGATCCATGTGTATTTGTAAGTATGTGTGTGTGTATATAAAATATATTCATAATATTTGTACATATATATGCATATGTATTTTTCCAAATAGAAAAAAATGAAGCTGGTTCCCTGGTTCATACCAAATAGGAAGGTAAAATCCTGGTGGATTTAAAAACCTAAATGTAGGGGCGCCTGGGTGGCTCAATCATTAAGCATCTGCCTTTGGCTCAGGTCATGATCTCAGGGTCCTGGGATCGAGCCCCACATCGGGCTCCTTGCTCAGCTGGGACTCTGCTTCTCCCTCTCCCACTCCCCCTGCTTGTGTTCCCTCTCTGGCTGTGTCTCTCTGTCAAATAAATAAAATCTTAAAAAAAAACAAAAACAAAAATGCCTAAATATAAAAAGCAGAACTAATAAAACTTAGAGAGAATAATTAAAGGAGAGCATCCTTTTAACCTTGGGTTGGGGAGATTCCTAAAAGATATAAAGAGCACTAACCATAAAGAAAAATATAAACTTGGCTACAGTAAATCAACTTCTGTTCATGAAAAGATATAATAAAGAGAATGAAAATACAAAATTTCATATTACTGTATCTTTTCTTCTTTGTTCTTATGATAGGCTTCCTTAGAAAAATCCCTTGTCATTTGAGTCATTTCAAGGAAAAAGGTAAATGAATGTACAAGATCTGCCACTCTCAGCCACAGTGCTAAAGTTTATTTTTTTATTTATTTTTAATTTTAAATTAAATTTAATTTTTTTAAAGATTTTATTTATTTGAGAGAGAGAATGAGAGAGAGAGAGCATGAGAGGGGGGAGGGCCAGAGGGAGAAGCAGACTCCCCGCTGAGCAGGGAGCCCGACGGGGGACTCGATCCCGGGACTCCAGGATCATGACCTGAGCCGAAGGCAGTCGCTCAACCGACTGAGCCACCCAGGTGCCCTTAATTTTTTTTTTTTTAAAGATTTTATTTATTTATTTGACAGAGAGAGACACAGCGAGAGAGGGAACACAAGCAGGGGGAGCAGGAGAGGGAGAAGCAGGCCTCCCACGGAGCGGGGAGCCCAACACGGGGCTCAATCCCAGGACCCTGGGATCATGACCTGAGCCGAAGGCAGACGCTTAACAACTGAGCCACCCAGGCGCCCCAAGTTTATTTTTTTTTAAAGATTTATTTATTTGAGAGAGAGAGCATGCAATCACGAGCAGGGGGAGGGGTACAGGGAGAAGCAGGCTCCTTGCTGAGTAGGGAGCCTGATGCGGGGCTCGATCCCAGGACCCTGGGATCATGACCTGAGCCGAAGGCAGACGCTTAACGACTGAGCCACCCAGGCGCCCCAAGTTTATTTTTTTTTAAAGATTATTTATTTGACAGAAAGAGAGAGAGAGAGCACAAGTAGCCAGAGAGGCAGGCAGAGGGAGAGGGAGAAGCAGGCTCTCCACCCAGCAGGGAGCCCAATGTGGGGCTTGATCCCAGGACTCTGGGATAATGACCCGAGCTGAAGGCAGCTGCCTAACCGACTGAGCCACCCAGGTGCTCCCCAAAAGGTTTTTTTTTTTTTTTTTTTAAGATTTTTATTTATTTATTGAGAGAGAGAGAGAATGGTAGAGAGAGAGCATGAGAGGGAAGACGGTCAGAGAGAGAAGCAGACTCTCCGCCGAGCAGGGAGCCTGATGCGGGACTCGATCCCGGGACTCCAGATCATGACCTGAGCCGAAGGCAGTCGCTTAACCAACTGAGCCACCCAGGCACCCCCAAAAGGTTTTTTAATGAGAAAAAAATCTAGCAACTTTTGTGCTAGACTAGTTACATTTTCTCCAACATACATTAAAAAAAAAAAAAAAAAAAGGTAAAAGAAAAAATATTTGCCAATGTATTTCCTCAAATTCGCTCATGAACTGTCTGATCATAGTGATCCCACACCTAGGGAAGCAAGTGTCCCTACCTTTCCACACACACTTCCTCTTTTTATTTTTTTAAGATTTTATTTATTTATTTGACAGAGAGATAGCACAAGTAGGCAGAGAGGCAGGCAGAGGGGGAGGCAGAAGCAGGCTCTCCGCTGAGCAGGGAGCCCGATTTGGAGCTCAATCCCAGGACCCTGGGATCATGACCTGAGCCGAAGGCAGCTGCTTAACCGACTGAGCCACCCAGGCGCCCTACACTTCCTCTTTTTAGAATCCAATGCATCCCTGTGTAGAAATTTTCCTGGAATTGTCTCTAGTTATCCCCGCCATAAGAATAATCATTTTCTACTCGTACCTGACCCTATCTATCAAATCAGGTTTTGGAAGTGGAACACAAAATTAAGAAATAAAAACACTGTGGGCCGAAATAATCTGGGAAGCCCTGGATGGTACTAGAAAGTGGAACAGCCTAGACAAAACCAAGACCAAGGAATTAGCATAAATAAAGGTTTTATTGGTCAGTTTGGGTGAGTCACATACTGACATACCCCCAACTCACTGTTTCACACACCCAAGGCCCTGAGGTGGCAGGAGCAGAAGGTAAGCCCACAGATGGTGAGCAAAGGGTGGACAGAATCTGAAGGCCTCTGAGGGTTAACAAGGCTAGCGGGACCGGAACCAACGTCCTAGGAATAAATCCAGGATGGAAAAGGCATCATCCAGGGCTGGAGATGGTGGTGATTCTGGATCTAAGGAAAAAAGTGATACACACAGACACACTAAATGAAAGAGAATGAACAAAGGACAAGGAGAGGAATAATTTAAAGAGTAGAAAAGTACGGGTTCCCCTTTCCCAAGGAAACAAGAGATGGATCCCTTTCAGACTTTACTTACCATCTCTAGGACTGCCATCTGCTTCTTGATGGGTTACTGTGGTCTCTGTCCGGCCCTCACTGTCCACCACAGTCCGGCGCTCCTCTACTGTCTACAAGGAGAAGCCCAAACCATATCTCTAACGTCAATAAAGGTGAGTTCACTGGTTTCTCTACCTAGATTGCTCTCTCCATGGCATCCTCTGGCCACAATTCCTTCTACCCCTCTCTTCCAACTCACCCCATCTGGCTTAGTGATCTTGGTCACAGAGACGCTCTTGAAATAGGATTTGGGCTGGGGCTGCAGAACTGGGCCGAGGCCCTCCTGGGAAACCTGGGAATCAAGATCTGGAAGGGCAGAGAGAGGAAACACGAAATCAAGAGTCCAAGGAAAAGAAGGGGCCAGGTGTGACAAGAAACTTCAGGAAGAACAGAGAGCACATTAAATGGCCACTCCCACCAGACTCACCATTGTCTTCTCTGGCTCTAGAACGGGGGGTCATAGGCCACACATCATCAAACTGTAGAAGAAGGCAAAGTAGGTGAAATGATACCTTTCAATCTGAAACTTGTGACAGAAAACACATTCCCAAGATCCAAAACTACCTTACCGTGGAGAGATAATCCCACTCAGAACAGCTTTCTGTACTCACCCTCCCCCTTCTCACCTGTTTTATCTACGCTTCTACCAACAGGCTCTCTGGAACCGACACTTGCCTTTTTTTTAAGATTTTATTTATTTGAGAGAAATTAAGAGAGTGAACGTGAGAAGGCGGAAGGGCAGAGGGAGACAGAGAAGCAGACTTCCGGCTGAGCAGAGAGCCCGCCGTAGGGCTCAATCCCAGGACCCAGACGCATCATCGACTGAGCCACCCAGGTGTCCCTGAAATGACACTTTCTATCCCACCCAACAATCTGCCTTGTCCCAGAATCATACAGACCCCTGATTTTTTAAAAAAGATTTCATTTATTTGAGAGAGAGAGAGAGAGAGAGCATGTGCGAGTGTGCATGCGTGAGGGAGAGGGTCAGAGGGAGAGGGAGAAGCAGACTCCCCGCTGAGCAAGGAGCCCGACGTGGGGCTCGATCCCAGGACCCTGAGATCATGACCTGAGCCAAAGGCAGACACTTAACCGACTGAGCCACCCAAGCACCCCAAGTGATTTTTTTTAAAGAAAAAGAACTCCCATCCCTGTGCCCCGCCCCCCCCCAAATCCCACAAGAAGCTTAATACAGAAAACAGATAATAACAGTAAGTGGAGAGCCTAGGATCCCAAGCCAAGTCTGTTAGATTCTGACAAGCCTCCAGTCTGTGCTCTGTTAGTTGTCTCCCACAGGCTCTCACTTTGGACCCAGAAGCACTCACCACACCAAAAGGTCTCTGGGAGCCCCAGTCTGGTGGTTTGGGGGATTCACTTCTTGCATCACTCTCCAAGACCCCCCCAAAGGTCCTGGGCTGGTGACTGTCTGGATACTTAAGCATTGAGTCCCGAAGTGTCTGTCCCTCCCGTCGTCTCTCACCAGGTGTCTCTGACTCAGGACCAGGACCTGGAAGTTCTGCAGAAAGGGGCCAGATGGATGCTGGGGGCGGGAGAGGACTTGGGCTCTTTGCAACCTTCCTGATACCGGCAGTCTTCTCACACTTCCCACCCCCCAGCTACCCTCTTCAGGCTCCTAATTTCACCCACCAACCCAGCAGAAACCACAGATCGTCCAGGGACGGCCACACACCGGGAGGGCGGGCAGGCAAGGTCCAGGACCCCATCTCGCTGAAGATGTTATTGAAATCCCGAATTAGGTCATCAAAGCCGAAGTTATCATGGAAACGCATCCCTCCTGGGCCGAAGCTGAAGCCAAATTCCTCGGGGGGCTGGGGGCCCTCAAACCGCGAGCTCCCACGGCCCCACGCGGCTTCTTCTTCCTCGCCCTCATCGTCCTCATCTTCATCTCGAGTCATCCCTCCAAAAAAGGGATCTCTGTGGCTGGGAGTGAAGGCAGATTTGACCAGAATGGCAGCACTCCCTTAAACCATACAATCAGCTCACAGGTGGCGAGTGGGCCAAGGGCAGGCGGGGGTCTGGGAAACCGAGGCGCGGGTGAGAACGGGCCGTGGGGTCTGTGCTGCTTTCGCCTTTATCCAACAGTCCGTCCTCACCTCGCGGCTCCCCCGCGCCCCCCGCCCGCCCTGTCCCCGCCCGCACAGCCCCACTGTCGTCCCCGCCCGGGCCCCTGTTGCTTCACCCCGGACTGCAGAAAGGCTTTTAAACTGCTGTTAGTCCTCCTCTCAGCGGCCGCCCAGGTTACTGCCGCGGGGTGAGCGCTCAGTGTGCTGACTTCCGTCCTCTCCGCAGCAGGTGAAGGAGTGACGAAGAGGATGGTTTCCCAGGAACTGGGTGTCAGGGGTCAAGCTCCCCTCAGAAGACCCCACCCTCGTCCGATCCCGACCCACTCTAACCTCCGAGGTCCAGAAAAGCCGAAAAAGCCCCGAAAGAGATCAAATAGGCTCATCCCCGTTTTGGGACTCGAACCCGCGGACCCCACCGAAGCCCATTCGCACCCGGCGGCAGCCCGCGCTGCGCAGCCGGAAACGGAGCGAAGCGTCGGGCCACCTGCCGGAAAGCAGGCCTGCGACCCGGCACACTGTCGTAAAAGGACCAGCAGCACGACGCGGGCGGGGCGGATCGCGCTGTCCCGAGCCGCCGGCCAGGCGCGAGGGCAGTGGGCGGGCGCCCGGAACTTGCAGCTGCCCGGGATCGCCCGCCTCCTCAGCCGACCCCTTCCCGCCGGCCACCCGGTGCCGCAGGGGCTTCGAGGTTGTGAGGCCGCGTGGGACCGGCCGCCGCCGCCAGGGGGCAGCCTCCGCCCAGCCGCGCCCCCGCCCGCGAGCTCCGCGTTTGAATTCCCCGGCCGGGGAATGCAGGGACTTTGCGCTCTCCAGCTAAGGGGCGTGTCGTACCGGAACGGAGTCCTAACTGCTCTCTAGGCAGGCTCTGTCTGCAGCTTGCAGGGCAAAGGCTTGGTAAGAGAGCCAGGGAAACCCCGTGAAGTCTTGCGGGGGGAGAAGGAGTTTGGAGCTGTAAGTATCCCTTTGCTTGTCCCTTTCAAGCCTCTCCTTCCCTGTACCCCAATCCGCCCCCGGCCTTGGTCTCCAGACCCCTCCTTTTCAAGGGGGTGGCAGTAGCCACGCACACTAAGCACCCAGAAGCAAGAACTGCTGTGGTCGACCCCCAGCCGACTGCATGTTACCCTCCCTCCTTTCCAGTTCATTTGCCTGGACCCGTCTACATTACACGTCGACTCTCCAAAGCCGTTTCTTCCAGCTCCTGCTTAATCTTCTCCCTTTCCACCCGGTATCTGCTGTTCACTCCCTTCACAGCCCGAAATCTGCTGCAGGTGGAGCAGTTTCTGGAGGAAATGAAAATTTGCAGCGGTTCTTTGTAGGCTGTGAAATCCCTGGGGGAGGAGGAAAGGGAATTCCCATAGGGCAAGATACCGGCAGCACATTAAGGGCAAAGAGCTCCTTTTATTCCATTGCCTTCAGAGCCCCCTATAGGGGCCCAGCAGGTACAGAAGAATCATTCACCAAGCTGTTGAGGAGACTGTCCTAGACGGATCAAGAATGGGCAGACGCTGAAGGTAGAGGTTTTCTTTTTATATATACAAGACACATTAATCCATTAAATTTGAGGACACAGTACAAAAAAAAAAAAACACTTCAACTAATTCATCTGACAATGCTGTTCATATTCATGACGCCATTTTTTGTTGTTGTTTTGTTTCCTAATAATAAAGGAGGAGACTTAGGGCTGTTGGGCTGATATATATTTGGGGGTCCCCCCCACCCACCTCACCCATACACCACCAGGGTGAACAGGAGGAGGAAAAGGAAGGCAGGGCCCACAGCAAAGTTTCATAATCTTGAATGCAAGGGAGGAGGAGGGGAGGAAAGGAGGAAAAAAAAAAAAAAAGAAAATACAAATCCTATAATACATACAACAGAGGGGGGATGGTATGGGAACGGGACAGACATGAAGCTGAGGCATGGGGTGGGCCGCTGGGGGTGGGGGGGCAGCGGACCCCCTCCCCCATTCGTTTCTCTCTTTGATGCTGTTTCCGTAGTTGCCAGGCTGAGAAGCCCTCTCAGAAGATGGGACCGGGAGAAGAAGAGGGTCAGGGCCTCAGTTGGCCCCCCAGCTGTAGCTGTTGTAGGCAGACTTGTTGGTCTGGGGCTTCTGCGGGATGGAGCTGGTCTGGCTACGTTGCCCGCTGCCCGTCTGCAGGGAATGGGACGATGAGGAGGAGGAAAAAGGTGTCTAGTTAGTGGGACAAATCTGGGACATCTTCAGGTGGAGATCGGGAAACTGTCTTGCTCTCCCATTCCCCTTGTTTAGGAACTACTCTGAAGTTTACTTCCCAACCACAGAAGATTTGGTTTACATAGCTGCTAGAGCACCTGTAACAGGTAAAAAAGCCTTTTCAACCTTTAAACAGGGTAGCAATGTAAAGATGGCAGGATACCTTTGGAAGGTAAGACCGTGAATGAGTTCTACCCACTTTCAATTCCACCTTCTCCCCCCACCCCCACCTACACTGCTGAGAAAAGGCTACTCTCTCTGGAGAGAATTATGGCCTCTTGGAGAGGAGTGATCACATGGTGATTTCATTTTCATTGATCCCATGAATACCTCAATTTGGGAAGCTGTCTTTGAGAGCAAGGAAGCCCCTGTCCCAGTTCCCCAGCCACCTATGATGGAGGAGAGGTCACTTGTCCACCCCACAGCTCCCCACCCCTACCACACAGCACAGCTGAGAGCCCACTGCAGGCAAGGTAGGAGAGACAGTCTGAGGCCCCAGGCTCCAGATGCTGCCCCAAGAATGCTTTCCATTCCGGTAACCGAGTGTTTCCAGAGTCAGGGAAGGGCAGAAAGAAAAAAGAGGGCGCTGGGGAGGGGAGGACAAGAGAGGGACGGGAGGCCAGAGAGCTCAGCAAGGTGTCTGTGTTCGTGTGTCCTGATCTGTGATTGTGCAGCCTTTTCAAGTTCCCTGAGGCTGTGGAGGTGAAATGGGGGCTGGAAAGGAGTGGGTTCAAGCACATCATCATTCAGTTTCATTACCTGCTCCTCCTGCTGGCGCTGGCAACAGAGAATCATCTGCAAATATGGTAGCTGAGGCAGAACCAGGATATATGGAAAATAAAGGGACAAACTTTGACAAGAGAACTCCACCATTAGCAGGGAAAGCTACAATGTCAGGGAAGGGGGGAGGCTGGGAGAGGTCAGAGGGTAGGTGTGACCCAGGTCTGATGGGATGAGGGCAGCTGTGCTACTGGAGGTAGAGGAGAAAGGTACCAAAGGAACAGAGCAAAGGAGCTTTGAGCCTGGCCCCTTCTCTGACGTCTCCTCTTGCCGGCGGCTCGTGTTATGTGCACTTGTGTCTGTGTGTGCTGTGTGCCCATGGCTGGCGCTGGGAGGGGTGGGTGAAGGTGGTGGTGAGGAAGGGTAAGAAAAGGAAAGGGGGCAGTTTTAAGGGATAGGAAGGAAGAGGAAGGGAAAGGAGAGGGGGAGGGCTGTTACCTGGCCGTCCTGCTGCAGGTGATGGTGGAGAATCTGGGAGTGCGGCTGCTGATGGGGGGTCAGAATGTGCATAAAGGGGGCAGGTGGGTAGGCAGCAGCTGTGGCCGGATTGATGGGCCCCCCACTTCCTAGGGCTGAAGGCAAGTTGAAGGAGGCAGCAGGAGTACCGGAATGAAAACCTTGTTTCTCAAAGGACTGCTATCCAGCGGGATGGAGGAGAGACAGTAAAAGGGGTCAGCAAACCAATCCCTGGAGTTTCTGGGCCCAAGCCCCGCACCCACCGAGAGCAGTCCTTGTCAGAGGAGGAGCACTGCACCTGGAGCCAGGTGCTTGGGTTTGTCTCCGCTCTGCTCTTTAAGAGCTGTGTGATCCTGAGAGAAGGACTCCCTCCCTGACTCCCGTTTTCTCACACATAACACGGGGGTGCTACTGACTTCCAGCTGTCAGGACCGCAGGAGAGGGTGGGCTGTGAGCGCTCGGGACTCTACCGTCACCCCCACCCTGCAGCTGGGCCCGTCGGTGGCAAGGTCTCGGCCATGAGGTGCTCCACCATAACTCCTGTAATACTTCATGTATCAAACTTAACAACACCCACTCCTTGTTTTCACAAAGAACCAACGAACCAGTTTCCCTTCATTCCACACTTGTTTCCTTGGAAAGTTGCAAAAGGCTGGCAGTGGGTGAAGAAAGGACAGTAGTACAGTGAGTCCCACACATGTCACAGCGACCTGCCACGCCTCATCTTCCTGTCACACTTCTCTTGCTTTTTCTCAGAGGGCGGGATTTAGACTTCTTTGAGAAACCTGCAATCTAGAGGCCATTCATCTAGGGTGGGTTTCCTGACACTTCTCAGGGTCGTGCTTGCTCACTGAACTTGACACTGCCACGCCACCTTCTCTCTGTCCGTCTCTTTCCACTTCTCTCCAGAGCTAGGCACCTACCTGGGTTTTGGAGTACACAGAACCCGAGATATCTGGCACGCCCGTGTTACTGGAGGTGACTGATACACCTGGGGGAGGAGGAAACAGACAGGAGGATTAGCTCAGCTAGCTGCTGGCCCCTCTCCCGGCGAAGAGATGGTGTGTGCAGCCTTTCTAGCTATCGCACTGCAAGGGAATGCTGGTCTGCTTTTCCATCTCAGGTCAGTCCTGAGACATGAGAGCTCATGACCCAAATCTCTTGCCCTTTCCAGGTATGTACTGAGTATGTGTGTGAGAAAGCAAGGTGAGTTGCTTTTTGTGGGGCAAGGGGATATAGCGAAACCCCACTAGCATATAGTTTTCAAAATACTTTTGTACCAAAGCCCAAAAGAAATGTGTTAAACTTTTAATGTCCATTTTAAATCAACCCACCCAGACTCCACTCAGTCCTGCTCCCGAAGACAGGTAGTCTGGGCTCTTTCTGTTCACGAAGAGACACTTTTGGGCTCAGGATCCATGCTTTCACAGCATAAGGTAAGAGCTCGAGGAGCAGTCCAGTCCAACCCCAAGAGCACGGTCCATTCTCGGAGTCTCAGCTCCCCTGGCTTCTCCAGTCCTGGCTCTTCTAGGCTAGGTACTTATGACTTAACGAGCTGACACAAAGGTGCATTTCCAGCTAAGTAATATAAGCCTAAACATGGGGAAGGGACAGGGGTTAGGAAGGCAGTGGGGTAGACTATTATCTCCTACGGTCTACGTGGAATACAAAATCTGACGTCCTCATCATTTACAACTTGAGCTTCTCTGTGAGACACAGGCTCTGATCCATACTCCCAATAACTTGCGTGTTTCCTGGTGAAGAACTCCCTACAACCACCACCACTTCAAGGAAACCAGAGCAGTACCACTCCTCATTTTAATTTCTACTCTCGACACTGAAATACACACACTGTACCCTCTGTTATGGAGCCATGGGTCAGGGAGACAGGAAAAAGCCATCAGATAAAATAATCTAGCATCTTACTAGAGAAATTTTATGCCAAGATTTGAGGGAAAATAACTCAAATTTAAAGCACACTTTTAAAGATACATTCGATCTCATCGCATGAGATAAGATGAAACTTCAGAAAAACTGCATTTCAGCCTGTGTCCT